TTGCCCAGGTTACTACCACCCCACTAGGGGGCGGCACCCACTTAGAACAAGAAAGCTTAGTGGAGGTGACTTGGGGAGCAATTTGCAGTAACCCCCTTCCAACAGGTAAGAATAATAGGCTCTTAGGGAGCTGACCTCTCTAGGTAGGTAGCTGTACAATGTGATGTACTAGTTCCAAGACCTAAAGAGGAGGGGATGAAGAATCGGGTCCTATATAGTAGGGAAAGGAAAGGGTCTTCTCAGTAGACCCGGAGTTAGAGGCTGAAATGAGGAGAAATCATGGCGCCACAAGTCACTCAGTTACTAAGAGCAGAGCTTGGATGGACAAGTGTGTAGCCAGAGTAGTTGAAGTGGCATTACTCTAGGGTCTCAGAGAGACAAGAAGTTCTTTAGCTGAATAGCCCTGAAACAAGAAACTACTTAAGCATCTTTCTCCAGGCAAAGGGTCTCCTTATCTAAAGCAGTCTGAAACACACGAAGTGATTTCTCACTAGTCTCAGCCTCCTAGTTGCTCCAAGCCCTTCTGGGCTTCTCCTGAGTTTCTAAATATTGAAGAGCTTCATGTGGGAGGTCAAATCTCCCTAAGGTCTGAGATCTTAATACACACATTCCTGAGGAGAAGTTGGGGGAAAGAGGTAAGAAAGAGAAGGGAGCTTGGGGAAGCACAAAAGGATGGCTTACCAACCTGAGGCAACCAGTAGAAGTAAGCTGCTCTAGGGGCTTAAGAATCTGCCAATTTCCATTCCCTGGGCACCTGGGGGGAAAAACACAAAACTTATCTCTAGCGGAATATCAGCAGAGAGAGAGAGAAAGGGAGAACATGTAGCTTCTAATAACCAAGGCACTCAACAACCAACAGAGCCTTAAGGGGAGCTTTGCCATCACCTGGGGGCTACCCACTGATCAGGCAAGAAATGATTGATTCTGTACCAGGAGGCTGAGTATGTACTGAGACCTTGGCAGTGAGGGGGAGGGGCACTACTGACGGGGTGCTGCCTGACTAGATGACATGATCTGTGTCCTGGGCGCTTACACTTTATGAGACTAATTCTGTGAAACTGTAAAGAACACAGTTGGTCAAAATTGTATGGAAGAGATTTAAAATACTCTGTGAGAAACTGGGCAGCAGAAGTCAAGCAGTCACTGTATAAAAGAGAGGAGACTTAGGCTTGGACTGGATGAACCAGTAGAATTTAGAGGGGAGCACTTTCCCAGGAGGAGAGAGGAGTGTACCTTATGTATTTGAAGTACAGTGAGAAGCATGGCCCAGATATAGTTGAGGGTGTGTGTCTGTGAATCGGGAGAAATCAGAAACAAGGAATCTTCAAATCCTCTGGAGAGCTGGGGCCCAAATGCCCCCATGGGGAGTGGAGCGCCAGCTGTGCTGAGATTCCAGCCCCTTAGCCTGATGAGAGAACTGGCTCAGGACAGGGTGGGTCAGTCCTGGGCTGATGTTGCGCCACTATCCTGTAAACTCCACCCAAGCCTGCACTCAAGGAAAGGGGTGGAGCTGTGGAATGCTCTTTCCCATCTGAGCCTAGTTCTTGCTGCACCAGGAGTGTCTCTCCCTGGTTTCCTCCAGCCCCAGACAGCCCCCCACCCCCCGCCAGAGACTTGAGAGGAGTTTAATGCTCTGAGCTTTTCTAGGGTGGGTGCCCTTCCCTCTGCAGTAGGTTGTTAATCAGATTGTCTCTGGTGCCCCTGTGCAGAGAAGTCTGGAGCTGAGGCTGAGCAGCTTGTCTTCTGGGTGGGAACTGTGTGTGGTCTCCTCCCCAACCCCCTCCCCCATCTTTGCCTGTTCTCCCCCTGTATTTGACTAGCTTTGAGTATCCATGTGCAGCTGTGTCCCAGAATCCTTTTAAACTGGACTGTGTGCCACTGACCTTCCCTACACACCACTCATACCCCTTTCCTGCTGCCTGTGTCCTCTCCAGAACTCGATCCGCCACAACCTGTCCCTGCACAGCAAGTTCATCAAGGTTCACAATGAGGCTACCGGCAAGAGCTCTTGGTGGATGCTGAACCCCGAGGGAGGCAAGAGCGGCAAGGCACCACGCCGCAGGGCAGCCTCCATGGATAGCAGCAGCAAGCTGCTCCGGGGCCGCAGCAAGGCACCCAAGAAGAAACCAGTTGTGTTGCCAGCTCCACCCGAAGGTGCCACTCCAAAGAGCCCTGTTGGCCACTTTGCCAAGTGGTCAGGCAGCCCTTGCCCTCGAAACCGCGAGGAAGCTGATGTGTGGACCACCTTCCGTCCACGAAGCAGTTCAAATGCCAGCACTGTCAGTACCCGGCTCTCTCCGCTGGGGCCGGAGTCTGAGGTGCTGGCAGGAGAGGAAATGCCAGCCTCGGTCAGCGGCTATGCAGGGGGTGTCCCTCCCACCCTGAAGGAAGATCTAGAGCTGTTAGATGGGCTCAATATAACATCTTCCCATTCCCTGCTATCTCGGAGTAGTCTCTCTGGCTTCTCTTTGCAGCATCCTGGGGTTACGGGCCCCTTACACGCATACAGCACCTCCCTCTTCAGCCCAGCAGAGGGGCCCCTGTCAGCAGGAGAAGGGTGCTTCTCAAGCTCCCAGTCTCTGGAGGCCCTGCTCACCTCTGATACACCACCACCCGCTGCCAGCGTCCTCATGACCCAGGTAGATCCCATTTTGTCGCAGGCTCCCACGCTTCTGTTGTTGGGAGGCATACCTTCCTCCAGTAAGGTAGCCACAGGAATTGGCCTGTGTCCCAAGCCTCCAGAGGCTCCGGGCCCCAGCGGTCTGATTCCCCCTCTTCCGATGATAGCACCGCCTCCAGTCATGGTGGGTGCTCCCATCCCCAAGACCCTGGGGACTCCTATGCTTACACCCTCTACTGAAGCTACAAGCCAAGCCAGAATGCCTCAGGATCTCGATCTTGATATGTATCTGGAGAACCTGGAGTGTGACATGGATAACATCATCAGTGACCTCATGGATGGGGAAGAGGGACTGGACTTCAACTTCGAGCCAGGTACTGCTCACAACCTACGCCTACTCCTAGGTGCCGAGTTACTTCCACAATCTGAGCAAGGGAGAGGGAGATTAGAACAGGGGGTAGGTGGAGCTCCTGGGGAATTGGAGGGAGGATGTTGTATTAGAGTGGCAGAATCTCTAGATGGGACTTCCAGGCCCCTCAGCAGTGCTCACCCCTACCACATAGCACAGGAGTGGTGGGAGACGGGCTGTCTCTGTTTACCTTGTTGTGGATCATGATGGTGGAATGTGCTCATGCCCCAGATGAGCCTCTTACCTTGTCTTTCATTTTTTCTTCCCACAGATCTCTGAGCCATTGCTGGAAGCTTTGTCCCCTGCTTCAGAGGTGGAGTTAGGGGTGCCCGTATCCACTTTTTATCCTTGGCCCCACACCAGGAATTTGGAGCCCTGATTTGGAGCTAGGGTGGGGTCTACTCACACAGGGGTTGAGGAAATTATAAAGATAAAGCTGCCCAATATGGGAACTATGGGGGGAGGGAAAAGGAGGGGTTTTTTTCTCACTGTGCCAATTAGGGGGTAAGGCACCTTCTTGGGAGCCATCCTTGGCTCCCCCTATTCCCACCCCCTAGGTTTTGTAGCAGGGGCGGGCTATGCTGTTGGAAATATGAAGTCACCAGTGGCCTTACCCCTGCCTTTGGGAGCAGGATTTTTTGTAGTGTCTTATCTGAGTTGGTTCAGGCTAGGTTGAGCCTGGGGTTTTTATGCAGTGGCCTCTTCGGCCTTTGGGGGGGAGTAGTTAGGACCTGGGAGGGCCAAGGTCTCAGCACTAGAGTGGCTCACCAGGCCAAATGACCCTTAGGGGGACTTCAGATAACAGAAAGGCTTTATATAAACTTTAAAGATCTATAAACACAAATATAGAGGGTTTTTTTTAACAGTGGCAAGGTGCTAGTGATGAAGAATGCTTTTTTTTTTTTTCTTAAGGCTTTGTCATTGTGACATGTTGAAAACACTACAGACATTACTTGGGGAAACATGGGGAAGGGGTACACCAGCAGGAGAGCAGCAGTGGGAAGCAGTACTGAGCAAGGGGAATCACTCCCATGTAGACCAGGTCTAGAACATGGTCGGTGCAAAAATATCTCAGGCTTTCCCTAACGAAAAAGCTAAGCCAGCTCCCCACCCCCACCCCACCCCACATTCTACCACTTTGTGCCTAGGAGTGTGTGGTGTTGGGATGCAGCCACACTCTCCGTGACCCACTGTGGGTTAGTGCTACAGTGGGAGAGTACATTGAAGGCCTGGAATTAGTTTGTGGCCTGGGAAGGGGGGCCGGAGGGGGAAGAGAAGGAGGGAAGGATTTAGGGTGGTAAAGTTAGGCACAGAGACCTCCCTGTTCAAGGCCCCTGACAGCTGTTGCTGCCCTTCTTTCCCTTGCCTGACTACAGGGGTTATGTGGAAGTGTGTGTGGTGGCAGGCAGGAGGAGGGGTGGAACAGGGAAGGGGGAGCTGGGAAGCTTGGCTGAGGGTCTGGGAAATGAGCAGGGATGTAGGGGAATGTGGATCAGGTTTACCACCACCTGCCAGGGAGGCCATCTGGGGCTCCTCCACCCCAGCCCCCAAGCAGCCCCTCCCCCAGTCCCCTTTGCATTGTTCCCTCCCCCACCCCTGCTGTGGGTTCCCATCATTTCCTGTGTCAGCGCTTGGCTTACCCAGATTGTATCATGTGCTAGATTGGAGTGGGGAAGTGTGTCAAATCAATAAATAAATAAATTCAATAAATGACTATAACCAGCTCTGGTTTCTGCTGCCTGTTGCCCCCCTCAGACAAAGGAGAGGGAGAGGGGAAAGCAATGGTTTGGGGACTGTCCAGAAACTGAGAGGTGGGGGTGGGAGAATTTCGGTTGGGGGAGAGGGGGTGTGGGGGAGGGGGGGAGGGAAGTGGCCCATCAGCAACCTAACCCGAGCAGGCTGTGATAGGCGTCCTCTGGTAGTCCTGGCTGAAAAGGGCTCATTGACTAGACTTCAGAGTCTTTCCTCACCACCACCCAAGTGCATACCCCAGCCTTCCTGCTCACCCTCAGAGGCTCCATGCTGCCTGGGGCATACTTAAGCCTCCCTGCAGGTACTGGGAGGAGTCTCTTAAAAAAGGAACCTCACATTAAACGCCAGTAATTTCATACCTAGTGTTTCTGCTCTCACATGGTCACTTTATTTTTTTAGTCTGCTGTTTTCCCTTCTTACTGAGTAAGCCTGCCTTGGTCTTTTGGGACGGACTCTTTCGAGGGAGCTTGCGACTCTTGTCATCACCTGATTTGGACTGGAAAGGAAAAGGGTCAGTTAGATAAAGAAGTTCAGTTCGGAAGGAAATCTTGTACAAACTAGGCCACGGGCAGGACAAAAGAGGTGGAAGGCAGGTCTTGGCCATGGATGTTGGATTTGGAAAGGAAATTTAGCCCTAACTGGTTTGGCTCAGTGGATAGAGCATTGGCCTGCAGACTGAAGGGTTCCAGGTTCAATCCCAGTCAAGGGCACATGCTGTGGGCTTGGTCCCTGGCGGGGGTGGGGGTGGGGGGTTGGGGGGGTGTAGGTGCAGGAGGCAGCCAATCAATGATTCTCTTTCATCTCTCCTCTCCCTTTCTGAAATAAATAAAAAAAAATTTTTTTTTAAGAAATTTATCCCAGAGGGCCATGGTGGAGAGCCTTGTTGGCTGGTGGGGATAGAGGGGTGCAGGGACAGAGCAGATTTGGGGAATCTTACTGGAAGGCTCACAGAAGAATCAATTTTAACGGCTTTCTTGGCTTCTTGGAGTCTAAGCATTTTCAGTCTGCTCTTCTCCAGCATGTCACATTGTGTGCGCAAGGCGTCTAGAAACCAGGAAAAGGCACCCCTACTTCTGACTAGATACTTTACCTACCCATCCCATCCATCCCATCATTCAAATGATCATTTGGAGCAACCCAACCTAAAGTTAGTGTGAAGAGTGATCTGAAGGTGCCTAAGCTCCAAGAGAAAAGGATGAAGAGAAAGATAGAAATGAAGGGTGGTGATAGGGAGATATACTGAGGAGATGGCTGCGAAATGGGGAGAAGGGTGAATAGCACATGCACACTCCACCTGGTTTGAGCTAAGTATCCCTTCTAAAGTGGATCTAGATCCTATTCCCCTTTTCCTAGGATACTGTGATCGTACTTGCTGCATGACACCAGTCCCACCCTATATTCTCCATCACCAGCTATGTGCAGTACTCTCCAAGTTCCTACTTTCTTCACATGCTTCTTACCAAGTAGTGTGTGATCTGGAGTCTTCAGGAGGGGCACAAAGGCTAGGTAGGCATTCGCAAGTTGAGTTCCTGTAAATACAGCAGTGTGCTATCCCCAGCCTCTGTTATCCAGTCTCCACCCTTCCAAAGCCCAAGATTGTAGGACCCTAACACTCAACACTATCTTGAGCTGGTTTACCTTATTTCCTCCTCTCAGATCCATCCCTAGAATAAGGGGGGGCGGGGGAGGTATGATATATGTGAACCTAACCTATTGTCACAGGCAATGACCGTCCTGGGCTGATTAGAGATAGTCAATTGGATCTGGATGAGGGCATCCTATTTTAAGGACAAGTTCTACAATCCATCCTGAGAGCCTTGTTCTATCTCTGGGGAATGCCCCCCAAGCCTCTACCTGGTGTCCCACGTGCCACCTTACAAACGTAGTAGGTGCTTCGAGGTGTAAGGAATTTGCTGGCATAGTCTCCAGGGATCTTCATCAGGAAAAACAACTTCATTGTTCCCGTTTCATCACACAAATCAATGGTGTCTGGAGGGAGGCCAGAGGGGCAATTGGGGCAGCTCAGGAAGTAGAATAAGGGCAAAAGGGACCAATGATCCCATCCAAAATAGGTTGGAAGAAGCTGTAGGGAATCAAGGAGCTCTCTTCTTGCCAGAAGGAGGCCTTGGAGGCCAGAAATGACCACTACTTTTAACCTTTGGCCATTAGACCCCTTCCCAAACTCCTCACCTGTTTTACTCAACCCCACTTTAATGCGGGTGTAATGCAGCAACCGGTGGACAGCACAATTGATACTGGCAAGGAAATTCTGATTATCTAAGAAGAGATGGGATGGGGCGTGTGACCCTTCTCTGGTTATATGTCTCTGTGATCTCCACTGCCCTCAAACCTTCCCAGCCCTACATACAGACTCCAACTCCATGATGCCCCTCACCTCCATGTTTGATGTAGATGAACATACTCTCAAGAGCTCACTCTTCAGAGAGGCCTGATGAGTCATGAAGATGGAGGGTGTTCTGGAGACCTTGGGGGATCCATAGGGACAGGGGTCAGAGGATAGGGAATAGGGGACTAGAGAGGCAGATGGATTACATTGCCTGAGGAAGCCCAGAACAGGCAGACAGGAGAGAGCTATTGGTAGTTGTGGATAACCAACATCGCTAGGGGTGGGGCCTGAAGGGTGGGGCTTGAGGCTGCAGTTGAGGGATTATGAGGTCAGAAGTGGTATGTGTGACAGAAGGTGGAGTAAGGATAAGGGGAGAAGAACCTGGGTGAGGTCTGTAGATTTGTTGGGAATGGAGGCAACATGGTAAATCTAACTAAACTGGACCTCAGAAGGATACCTTAGAGAAAAATTAAGTTTCTGGAAAAGTACTTTTTCTAGTTAATTTGTGGTACAACTGCTTCCACAGCAGGATTCTACTCATTTTCCCTACCATCAGCACTATGCCCCCCATCCTTACTATACCTCACATTTCCCCTGCTCCCTGCCCAAACAACACAGTCATGATGATTATCAACAGAAACTTTATTTATCATTGATTTGGGAACAACTGAAGGGTAGATGGAAAGAAGAAGGTTGGGAGGGAGGGAGAAAGAATTCTAGGAAGAGGAATTTTGGATCGAGGGAGATGACAAACATGTACAGGGCAAATGGGCAATTCCTTTTAAAATATATTTTTAATAGATTTCAGAGAGAATGGGAAAGAGGGATAAAAACATCAATATTGAGAAAGAATAATTGATCGGCTGCCTCCTGCATGCCCCCTACTGGGGATCCAGCCCACAATCTGTGCTTGTGCTCTGACCAGAATCAAACCTTGATCTCCTGGGTCATAGGTCGAAGCTCAACCACTGAGCCACACTGGTTGGGCAATGGGACAATTCTTAAAGAGGAGATATTAAATGAGGGGGCAGTTGTAGGGGCACACAATTCAAAATCAGCCACAGTTGGGGTAGGGGGAGCATTGGGCCTAGGCTGGTTGGATGAGGGGAAGTTAGTACAATTTAGGGCTACAGGACCCTGGGGTTCTGCCAGGGTATCAGGGCTCAGGGCTCAGGTTTCAGGGTGTAACATGGTGGATCCCAGAAGGGACTATGGTGGCTGTAGGGGGAGCCTCCAGGACCCTCCCCTAGAGCAAGGCCTTTTGGGGGAATCTCACTGACGTGGCAGAGCCTTTCGCTGTAGTCTGGCTGCAGGCTCTCCGCCAGTCCCTTAGACACACCACTCCAGGCCTAAAGACAGATATCTCCAGGTCAGGGGTCAATTAGGAGCAGGAAGTAAAAGACCCAAGCTCTGTGCCAAGGGAACTCTCACTTCTGTACCACTATGATTAAGGAAGGGACACACAGATTCCTGGGCTCCCAATATCACTGTTTCCATATGCCTCAACCAATCTGTAATCAGTTTTCTTCTGTGTGTCTCTCTCCATCTGCCCCATCCCCCAATTGGTTGGCCACATCCTGACAGTTAGTGCAAGGCCCCCTTTCCTCCCCTCTGCCCTCCATACTTTGTCTTGCTGCAGGAAGTGGGCAGTTGACAGACTGCAGTCTGCCTATGACCATGTTCTCACCGAAAAGTTCCCGTGGTATTCTGTAACCAGATCCTCCAGGCTCTTGAGGGTAGGAATTCGGGGCATGGTCCTGGGGTAGGGGGAGAAAGAGGGAGCAGGAACACATTGGTGATGCTCTTTTATTGCCCTTTCCTCCCAATTCTGCCATATAGAATAGAGAGATTCTCTGTTCTCTGTGACTGCAGCTTTGTTCTATCACTATGCCCGCTTGGGTGACCCCTCATTCCTTATTGTCCTGCCTTCTTCTTCTATAGACCTTGTAATAAGCCTTTTCTACTATTCCCAGCCACCCCCACCTCTTTTTTTTTTTTTCTGGGATTCCAGAAGTCTCACCGTTCCAGCCAGCAGTACACACAGATGAGGCTAATAATTAATCCCATGGAACCAAGGGGTATGAGCACAGCTTCCAGTGCAAACAATGACGGGGTCTCTATAGAGTCTATGGAGAAGAGGAGAGAAAAAGGGCCCTAATACTTGTCACACCCCTACAACAAGACAACATCGATGGAGCCCCAACTAGGTGCCAGACACTGTGCTAGACACTTTCAGTATAATTAATCCTCACAACTTCTGAGAGAAGGGACCAATTAGTATCTCCATTTTATAGACAAGGAAAGGCAATCGAAGAGGTTAGTGATGTGCCCGAGATCAAAGAGGCAGTAAGTGGCAGAGGCAGGTTTAAACCCAAGATTTGGCTGGTTCCAAAGCCATCTTCACTATGCAGCCTTCCTGGCAATGCTGTGGAGATAGTTTATACATTCTATCTCCTCTTGAGCACTCCTTGGCCTTCTTCTCACTCCATCCCTCTAGTCTAGTGGCCGGCAAACTCATTAATCAACAGAGCCAAATATCAACAGTACAATGATTGAAATTTCTTTTGAGAGCCGAAAGCCGACTTCTGCGCATGGGCCACGAAGTTTCAATTGCACTGTTTGTGTGCTCCCACATGTGGTATTTTGTGGAAGAGCCACACTCAAGGGCCAAAGAGCCGCATGTGGCTCGCGAGCTGCAGTTTGCCAACCACTGCTCTAGTCTAACAGCACATCGACCCAACCCTACACAGAAAAACCCTGCTTTCTGGGGGTTGGAGTTGAACAGTGAGGGGAGATGGGCCACCAAATTTGGGAGCTTACAGATAGGGAGATAGAACAAAAGACACTGGTGCTAGGAAGGTTGGGGTGCTGGACTCTTGGGTCAGGGTGAGGCATTAGGTCCATTTTACCCTTTGAAATATGGCTGCCCCAGTGGATCAGGTGGCTCCATTCACTCCAATGCTGAGCACTGCCACAGAGTGGGTTATGGCGACTCCGAACACGAAACGTGTAGAGTTTCTGCCCATCCACACTAGGCAAGGAGAAACTACGTCTTTGGTCTACTGATTGTTCCTTAGGGAGAAAGAGGGTGAGAGTAAGATGGGTGTCTATAAAAGAAGGGAACATTAAAACTGCTACCCTCTCCCAGCTGGTGTTTCTCAGTGGTTAAGTGTCAACCTATGAACCAAGAGGTCATGGGTTTGATTCCTGGTCATGGCACATGCCCTGGTTGCAGGCTCAAACTCCAGTAGGGAGGATGCAAGAGGCAGCCGATGGATGTTTCTCTCTCTCTATCCCTCTCCCTTCCTCTCTCTACAAAAAAACATAAAAAAACAATAAAAACATTTTTTAAAACTGCTGCCTCTCCCCCCTGTCATCTTCTGGTTCTTCCCAGTCCCTCCCTCCTCTCTTGACTATTCAAGCTACACTGCCCCCTTCACTGACTATAATCTAATGCCTCTCTCCACATCCCCTTAAAGACTTCCTTTGGTTTACTTGTCTGTCTGGTACTGGGAATAGTACAGGTAGGGAAATCCTAAATGACAACTCATTGGTGATAATAGATAGGGAAAGGATTTGGAGGAAGGCAGAGGGTGGTCAGAGGCACCGGAAAGCAAGAACAGGAGATCAAGCCCTCCTGTCTGGTTGAGTCTATCCCCACTTGCTTGGTCTTAGCTGCTACGTTCATATCCCTAGTCACTCACAGTCCAGCTGTGGTCCCGGTCACTCCTGTACTGCACCAGGTGCTCCAAACAGTGGTCCAAGTATGTGTTGCTCCACCTCAGTTCTATCTGGGATTCACTCAGGTTGTGAAGTGTTAGGTTCTTCGGAGCCCAAGGAATCACTGGAGATATGTGTGTGAGTGTGGTCATTCTCCTGGCCTGGACAAGTCAGGATCCTGAAGGTAGTGCTACTGATCCCTCCTCTATTCCCCATCCCAAACCCTCACCACTTCCTTTCTTAGCAGGTATCTTTATGGTGAAAGAACACCATAAAGAACACTGCTCCATATACCCCTATGCCCCACAATATCCCTGGACTCTTGAACCATTTCCAATTACCCAAATCCTGCAGTCTTAGCTCCTTTTTGGTCTTCCTCCTAGGTTCCTGTGGGTCCTGGAGCTGGACAAAGAATGTTTGGTAGAGATTGATTTCCTCTTTTCCCAACCAACAGCCAGAAGTGATCTCTGAAGTGTATAGATAGTGGCCACACTCCTGGATATTATGACCAGAGTTCTTATACCTAGAGAAGGGTTGGAAGGAAGAGGAATGGTGGGGTAAACTTGGGTACTACAGACATCCACAGCCCAGCCTCTTCTCTGAACTGACTTATGACTTACCCCATAGGAAAACAATGGGGAGCCTGGAACGCTGGCCACCCTCTTTTTGGTTCCCATACTGTCTCTCACATCTAGCCCACCTCCTCTTCCTCCCTTATGCTATCCCCTCTTTCTTTCTCATACCAATAGTGCAGAGTCAGGTTGGTGGGCTGAGGCTCAGAGCTGCTGTTCCAAGTGCAATTTATATACTCGACATTGAATACAAAACACTGAACCTCTAGGTTAGAGAGAAAATGAAGTGGGAGAGGGGAAGAGAAGAAATGATAATCAGAAGAAACACCACGAGGCAGGGAACCCTTTCCCTTCCCCCCACCTCCCCACAGTGCTCTTAAATTCTGCCTGCATCCTTGTTATGTTCAGTTGCAGGTTCCAAATTTCTGTATGGCCCCTTCCCACAGCATCCGCTCTCACCAACCCCTTCCAGTCCCAGGTTTCCCACCAGCTGTGATGTCTTCATTCCCAGTGGGCATGAGGACTGTTGGGTTCAGTCCCATCCCCAACAGAGGCAGCTGCAGGAATAACAGGAATCTGAGTGGCAATGGTTGCTTCAACATGGCACTCTTGCTCTTCGTTCCTTGGGTGTACTGTGTCAGGAACCTGGGCCCCTCACCCACTACCCCTCCCCACCCATACATTTCCTTTTGTCATAGCTTCCGGTGGAAAGAACCTTAGAAACCAGGGCTTTACAGAGGGTGTGGCAAAAGTGTGCTGTGACACAGGCTAAATCTTCTGGGAGATTTGGTGTTGATCTAATCCAGGCGTCCTCAAACTTTTTAAAGTGGGGGCCAGATCACGGTCCCTCAGAGAGCTGGAGGGCCGGACTACATGAACTACTAATTCCTACTGTAACACCTCGGC